TGATTCGCAGCTCGCGTAATGCCTCGCAGGATTCCAACCATACACTTCCTCTACCATTTCTGCATTTCAATTCGAGATTGAATTGATTGATAGAACAATTGCGTACCTCGCTGGACAAAAGTGTCTAAAAGTTTACTATAATAGTTTACATCGAACTTTTTCTGTTTCTTTGTCTTTTACTAATTTATATACTGTCTAAGGTAAAATATATTAAAATTATTAAAACAGGATATAATTTATAAAAATAAATGGTATAAGAAATATACTAAAATAATTTTAATATATTATTTTGTTTTTTTTTTTGGTAATTTGGAACTTTTATATAGTAGATATAATTGAATAATATAATAGATTGGAACATTTTTATGTTTTACTCGCCTATTCGTCAAGTGATTTGTGGTTAATATTATGTCTTGCTTTAATAATTTTAATATATTTTACTTCAGACAGTATATAAATTAATAAACAGAAAAGAAAAAGTTCGATGTAAACTATTTTTAGACATTTGTACACCTTGGTACAGGTACGCTATTTGTCCCACTGTGCGCCGTCGGATTCTTCGAATGTGCACAATGATTCAGAATGAAAATTTAGCAGCTCATACGATTATTTAGCTCAAGGAATCGAACATTTTGAGACTTATCAATTTTACTCAAATAGAAGCAGGTAACTGAACACCTTTTTTTCAATTTTCGGGATTCTGTTCGATGACGTCATCATTCACTAACAGAACTCTTAACATTTTCATGAAAGTTGTAATTTTCAGGGAATTTTTTTTTTATTTTTTATTGAGATTGATGACTCGGAAGGGTCCAAGGAGAATAACAATATATGTAACAAATTTTTCATGGTTAATAATAAGTTGATTAGAATTTTTTGGGAAGATAAAAAAAACTTGTGTTGGACCATTTGAGCTGCGAAGTTTTATTTCTGAACCACTGTGCAGTGTTGCGCAACATATTCGTGTGTCAAGTACTAATGCAATATAATCACTTCGTTAGTTTTCATTATGTTTCTATAAAACGTTCACTAATGAAATTTTCCGTGCGAGTGACAGCACAACAATATTCGCATAATTGCAAGTTATACCTTAATGGACATCTCTGTTAAACAAACGAAATTTAAACCCTTCAAAGTTGTATGTTTGCTCTCAGCAACCAAAGCAAAATACCATTCCGATATTCTGCATTTTCTCTTTGTTTCGCCCTAAAGAAAATAAATGCAATCTAAATAACGAATTAAAATTTTTTTCAAGAATGTTTTTTAAGGGCAAATATTTTCCGAAATACAATTTTGAGAAAAATGTGTGACAATTGTCCTTTATTCTTCTACAAGATTGACATTTTTCTGAATTTTGCCATAATGCTTCAGGATCATATTTCCAGCACCCAGAGCTACAAGAAAATGCAAGGAAAAGGAAATCGATTTTTTGACTGGCTACAGTAGAATATCCCCTTAATAATGTGGACGCATGAATACGTTCCTTGGTATTCTTCGAAAACTCTCAAGAGCATTCTATCTTGCTCGTTCTCATTTCCTATCTTCCTTGCATTCGTTGCTTTGCAAATGTCTCGAATCCAGTGAAGCTATCACTGTATACATACTTATTTCAAAGACGAGCAGGGCGGGTCGAAACCCCGTCAGTCAATTCTTTTTTCGATCGTTGCTCGTTCCCTCGGGGAAATAAAATTCATGCATGTCTTTTTAAGCGGCCGTTTTGCTACCCCACGGAAAGCAGTTTCACGTTTTAGGAATTAATTCTTCCCCGGAAACGATATTTCTTTCATCGATTCGTAGTAATTTGGGCATGTAGAAGGACAGACAGCCCAGGGACTAGGGATTAATCGAGATAAACACGAAAAGGGACCCGGTTCGAAGGTTCGTACGATCCCGTTCCACAAATGGGAACACGACAATTTCCGCTTTAACCGGGGAACTAGAGGAATTACGCTCGCAAATTTCGGTGATCCTCTGACTCAGCCGCAAACGGGAGCTATTCTGTCTATCTCAAAATCTATTTGAACGCGCATCGCCTACGGCGACGCTTTATTTGAAGTTCCCCGAATCACGAAGATCTCTGCCATAATACGTGCGTCATAAACGGGGCGCGTACCTTCGATCGTCAGTACACGAATGATAAACCAAGTGTTGCGTGTAGGCATGATAAAAAAATGAAAAAAATATCGATGTATCGATACAGCTGCCATCGACTAGTGGAGGGCGATACAGTATCGATATGTCGAATATTGATACTATTTATTTATTCATTTAGCTATTAAACGGGTACATAACAATTCAATGAAAATAAAATTAGATACAGTTACAGAAACATACAATAGTATACAGTATGGAATAAATCGTAATAGAGAATGCGACGTCGCTGTCAATTAAAATTATAGTTCGTCGAACAATCTTTCCGTACCGTTTCCGTTTTGATTCGCGAAATCCCACGGGTTTTCCTTCCGTTGTTTGTGCAACAACAAACTCCGTTTCGTAGGAATGAGAGTACGTAATCATTTTCGACGAAATCCTTTACTTAGACTGGAACCGTAGGTGGTTCCTTTTTAAGCCAGAAGTGGCGAAGAGATTACGGCGAGAGGAGGGGGGGAGGGGAGAACAGATAAAAACAGGTCCACTTCACGAGACAATGAGAAGGCTCACGGTGGATTTCAATTTGGAACAATGCGATTTTCAGGCGTATAAACGTCGAGTACGGTTCACGAAATTCGCCGTTTTCATTTTAGAGGTTAGGTGATATATTTTTCCATAGGATCGTCGCCATGAATGGCGTTTATAATTCGAACAAATCTGTAATCTGTTCCTGTCGCGATGAAGCTGTGAGAGAGTAGGGTCATAATAGTTTTTCGTAGATAATTCGAGGACACACAGTAAAGAAATGAATCGCAGCTGTTCTCTCCGATCATCGATTCCAGGGAAGTCCGTAAGACGCGACAAGGCGGGAGCAGGCACGCGTTCCGAGAGACTCGCTCGCAGGTAGAACTTTCTAGTATTTAGGCTCACTAAATATAGCGCGAGTCTGCTATAAATCCCAGGCTCCCGGACTTGCCGAAACTCGAATGACTTGTCTCTCTACGGTGTCCGTTAGACAAGGCTGATTTTTACCGACCGATGGAAAAACGGCTGTAAGTTTTGCAGGGTGTACTACAGTAAATCCTCGATGAGTGTTCGAAGGCTCCTCGGCACTGAACATTAAATATTTCATAAACTAATGGCCAAGTACGGTTAAAACAAATATCATTAGCTTCAGAATTCCATGATCTATCGCTGTGCTAAATCCCATTAAAATGTCAGCGTTACACCTGGGGACCTCTCCTTCTCAGTTCTAAGGGAGGTGACCATTTGCATCAATGCAAAGTTGCAATCTTCGTATCGCTGCATCATAATTGCAGCATGTGCTAGAATATGTTCAGAAACGATAAGACATGCACCTGATGCAGCGATACGAAGATTGCAACTTTGCATTGATGCAAACGGTCACCACTTCGAGCATCTCTCGTAATGTAAGAAAGTTTATTTTACTACCACATTTGACCTTGCATGACCTTCAATCATAGCTCGCTGAAGTCGTCTCAAGATCAGCTATCATATCGCGATAAAGAAAACATAGCATTCCATTAAAAAAAATAGAGATGACCTTGAAATCTCCTCTATGCCATCACCCACGCAGAAAATGTTTGTGTCACAATATATCCCCCTCTATACCGTGTAAGTTTTGTATATAACATTCTTTCATATTATTACAAATAACGGCAATAATCAAAGTGGACATAGTTATTGCCCCACCCTGTATATGTAGTTCAGTGATTCGCCCTTTCTTTTGTGGACTCATTGACATTACGGTATGAGGGGAGCTAGTTATGCTCTTTGAGCCGGGATTGGTTCTCGAACCAATCCTCGTCACCCTCATTACGATTTAACGCGAGGTTCGGGCGACTGGTAAATTCAAGCTCCTCTTTGGAGAGATGGCGTGGGGCGTGGGGGTATAGGTCCGTGTGCAATCTCGACGAGTTAAAAGGGGGGGGGGGGGGGGGGTGGAGGAATCCCGTAGTCTGGGTTGCATGGAACGGAAGAAAACAACGAACGGCTTTTAAGTTTGACCGGGTTTCCGAACTTTTGCGATTCGCTCACGCCCGAGGGGTGGTGGGTGACGTCGACTCGCCGCGCAGTCCTCGAGTATAGCCTTAAATGTTAACGAGGCACGAGGCAAGAAGCGGAAACTACTTCGTCCCGCGGCCATAAATATTTATCGCTTTCGGCGTGAACTCTCTCTTTCTCGATCGTCGAAGCCGTCGTCGTCGCGGTGCCAGATTGCTGGTCTCGCGAACGATTACAATATCCACGGAAAAAGTCAATTATCATCTCTCTATCTTTCTCGATAGGTCCTCATTCGGTAAGTTACGCGACACAATAAATGTCAAATACGGTCGTACGGGTGGGAAGTTGTATCCATACAACGGTGATGAATACACTGCGAATTTTTATGTAAAATAACATTTTCTAAAGTAATTTATAACGGCAGGAGGAAGTTATTTCAAATCATCCCAGGAACCCCTTATTTCCGGGAGTCGAAGCTATTTTGGGACACCCTGTATAAGAAGGTAGCCCTCAACGGTAGCCAGAATGTTCGCTCGATCGTTGAGGACGGAATACCATTTATACTACTTATTCTTATGATTTTGAAACCGATATTACCGAAACCGATGTATTACCGAAAACCGAGATAAATATCGGTATTTTATCGGTTTTTCGAATGTATACATGACAGGGACGTCTATGGAAACGTAAAATACCGGCATACGAAAAAACCGGTATTTTCGTATTTCGGTTTCTATAAGGGTTACGAAAGTGCAATCGAAAAATACTGGTATAATACCGGTATTTTACGTTTCGGTGAAAGTTCCTGACCGTGAGTTCATTTTAAGCCACCCTAAAGACTGTCTTAACACCCCTTACATAACGTTTGTATCGAATGTTCTCAGGTCACGGAGGGAGGTTCGAAAGAGCCCAGTGCCGTAGCATGCCGGCGAGCTGCAGCGGGTGGTGTGGCGTCTCTGAGAGAGCGCGTCGATCGGCGTCGTCGGTCGTCCGCACGAGCGTCTGTGTGCAGGCCAGACAGGATTCGGAGGAGCGTGCCTACGCGTGCATAAACAGAAGAGGAGTAGGCGGTTGGGGAGGCGGAGGAGGAGGAGGAGGAGGCGGAGTAGGTAAGCGAAAGCGAAGGAGAAGGGGGAGAAGAAGAAGAAGAGAGGGTCGAAGCGTAAGCACGAAACCGATCGAGGCGAGGAGGAGGAGCGACCGATGAGCGCGGGGGGGGATGGGGGCTCAGGGTTGGGCCCCCCTGAGCTGTCGGGGGCCCAGCCGACTGCCGCGACCCCCCCCATCCTCGGGCAGCACCAGAACCCCCAAACTGCCCAGGACGGACAGCCGGCAACCGCGCAGTCGCAGACGGGCCAAACACTCGGGACCAGCACCGGTGCCGCCGCGAAATCCGCCACCAAGAGGCCGGCTCGCAGGGGCGGCAAGCCCCCACCGGACAGGCCCGTTCGGGCCCTATTCTGTCTACCCCTCAAGAATCCCGTGCGTAAAATGTGCATCGACGTAGTCGAGTGGAAGTATCCTTTTTTCTTTTTCAATTTCCGAACGCTATCCGTACGTAGTAAAACGATAGCTGGGTGAATTGTGACCCATAGCAAAATATGGAAATATTCATTTCAGAATGGATAAAATGTTCGGTAACTGTGGCTTATCGCATGGGTCACCGGTGACCCGGTTACGATAGTTAAGGACGCAATAGTTACCACTGGAACTACCAAAGCAGTTAAAATGAATAGTTAGTACACTCTTGTAACGGTGATTAAAATGTCACAACAATGCGTTTTCTCGGGTCTTTTGAAACTTTTATTGGAATGTTTGAAAGTGGAGAAATCAGTTAATTTATGAATTTGCATAGTTTCAGAAGTTTGTCATATTTATCGATCCGATAGAAATCAGATGTACGTTTATTATCGGTAGTTTCAGTGTTATGGACGATCGTTTCATGGAAGTTGTCTTGACGACAGACGGATCGCGATATTTTCCCGTTGGCCTCGAAGCTACTCTGTGGACAAAAAAACAATCTTTGTCACAATCTATCGTCGTCGTACACATCCACCCTCCGTCGTAAACGCATTACGCAACACGTTTGCGGGAGGGGGGCGTTCCAGAACATTCAGCAGGGATTTCTAGTGAAGGAAAGTTCCGACTCTGTTGATTCAAGCCGACAATTCGTTTGCTTTCTCACTCCAGAGTGACACAGTGCGGTAGAAACGAGTCGAAGCTTTCCCTCTTTTTTTCCTTTTTTTCCTTTTTTTCTTTTTTTGCAACGGGAAAAACGTTAAATTAGTTCTTACCGCGGCGGGAAGCTTTTAAGCTTCTCGAGCACTGTTTATATTTAAGAACTCTTAAGGTACCTGGGAACCGCGCATTGGTTCTCGTGATTCTCGACGTAGGATTATCGAGAAAAATTGAAAGGAAAGTTTTGGCTGTGGTTGCGGCTCCGCTTTGATTCGATCCGAGGAACCGAAGCACAGTGCTCGATTTCCATTTTTTTTGAGGATAATAATTAATATTGCTTAAAATCTTATAAACAGGGGACATTTATTAAGACCTTAATGACCGGTAGCCTATTAGTAGACTTTTATGTTTCAGTGCTTATAGATAAGGAGCTTATTAATTTATCCCTATATCAGGGTTTAAAGAAGAAATTTTTACTTTATTCTATTAGAGTTCTTACTATTTTTCATGAATGTATAGTAAATGCTTGATGAGTGTTATGTATTTTTGTCCCACTTTTTAATAGAATGGACCACTATGTGTTATGTCGGGAGCGAGTTATCGTGGGTGTATATTCATTTTCCTTAGCCTAGACCTTCCGTCGACGCAACTTTCCAGACCGTTTGAGTGGCTTATTCTCATGACGATTTTCGCGAATTGCGTCGCCCTGGCAGTCTACACACCTTACCCGTTCGGTGATTCTAACCTGACCAACCAGTATTTGGTAAGTCTGGAATTCTATTCTCTCTAGTTTGAACTTCGCATGCTTCTGTTCCACGTTCGTTTCGTCCTGATTCAATTTAATTTCTTGCGTCGGTCGAATGCTTTAACAAATCAGAGCATCCAGCCGATAAAGTAATTTCATAGTAAATTGGATAGAGAAAAGGCAGTTGCTGTGAAAATGAAAAAGAAAAAAAAAGTGGAAGGCTTCACATTGAAAATTGTTTGTTTCGACGGCAACGGTCAGGAATCTTCGACCAGACGAGGATTCGTATTATTCTCCAAAGGTCGGATAAAAAACGTTGTACGAACGATGAACTTGGATCGAAAAAAGAAATTTCAATCGAGTTTAATAATAACCACCCATAATAGGAAGGCCGCGATTCCGTTCATTGAACCGTCACCGGGTTATCGATAAGCAAACTGGTGTGGTCCAACTGATAGAGTCGATGGCATGAAGCTTATTCGAGCTGAAACTTCAATAATTGTTCAATCTTGCTGACATCGTCTTGCACCGTAGCCCACTATTACCGGGGAGAGCACACGATTCATATATTTACGGGGCCAGCGTGAATCCCTCGGACGGAAAGTTAACGCTTTGATGGAACCGTCGTTTGATCGTCTTAGACACGGAAGAATTCCATGAATATTAGATTTCCGGTTACTACGACGTTTAAACCATTTGTTAAACTGTCAAATTGTGTGATCGATTCTTTTAAGTTGACGTTTATCAAAAAGTTTTATCTTGAAAAATTCTTAACCCTTTCGTTTCCACTGTTGCCATACGGCTACGTATTAGAAACAAATTATTAAAACTCTCTTTCAGCTGCATCTACTGAAAATATATTTATGAATATTAATGACAATCAGTAAGTAGGTTACTATTTTTTTTTGTTACGAAATTTCCAAGTAGGGTCAATGTCCCAATTACTGTCAGTGCCCCTAATACTGCCACTTTATTTATTTTATTTAGTGAACACATAACGTATAAAGAATTGGGAACAAAAAATTGTATTGGTAAATTGACAAATGGCAACGAATGAAAAATGGCATTAGATGGTTTCAAAATATTAAACTGTTCTTATCAATCATTTATATGTCATGTAATATACCCAAAAAAGGCAGCAAAATCTTTCTTTGGTAATTTTAAAATAATTTGGGAACGAAAGGGTCGTAAAACGAATTTCTTCTGAAAAAAAAAAAACGGTTGATTTTCGCGCAATGTAAACTGCTGGTTGCAACCGGACGTGACGAAAATCCAACAGGGGGTGTCATCGCCCTCCGTTTAGCTGTTCGAAACGATTGCTTGGATAGAATCGAAAGTAGCGAGAGCCCCGTGTCCCGGAAAATGGGTAAAAGGTTTCCCGAGATAATACGCCGCTGGGATCTGGCCTTCGAGGTAAAGTATAAAACCTTTTTGTTCGGCGAGAATCTCTTTCTACGGTGGGGCTCGACGCGGCCGATAGAGCAAACGCGTCCTGTGTCGCGTCAGACCGGAAACTTCGGCGAAAGGTGTGTCCCAGTAGGTACATGCACGATCTAACCGTAAAGGCCCGTTTACACGTTGAAACAATTTGCGCAAACTGACTTGTGCATTATTACAAGTCAATTTGCGCAAATTATCTGAACATGTAAACGGGATTTTAGATACAACGATTTTTTGCTCAAATTCGCATAGAACAATTGGTTTGCGCGAATTATTCGTTCCGTTTAGACGCAATGAAATGTTTGCAGAAATGTGAACGAAAAAAGTCAGTTTGCGCAAATTATTTAAGCATGTAAACAGGCCTTAACGCGCGCGCGCGCGGGCATAGAACGCTTCGAGGGTGGATTCAGGTCACAAACACCGTAAAAAGGTTCGCTACGGGAACGCGCTACCCGTCTCTTTGACCTCGTTTACCGTGACGCCAATCACTTTTGCGTTTCATTAATTGTGTCGACGTGTTGAATTAATTAATTCGAGAAAATTGCAGATTAAATAATAACTGCCTCGCCATGGGTCACGCGTGCATGTTCCTGCTGGATCGGTAATGTCACGGAGCTCCTGCATTCGTTTACTGACGCGGTGGTGAGTGAACGCACATACGAGATATAAGAATAGACCTAACATGCAATGTGATCTTCCGTCCCATGCTTTTTTGGTCAACCATCGATAAACTATACAGGGTATTGATAAACATGTCAGACACTTTCAGAGGGTGGATTCTACATGGAAAATTAAGACGAAAATCGAGAATGACGAAATTCCCTTTGAGGTTTTGTTTCCGAGTTACAATGTGGGCAAAATGTGCGTGAAATACACGTCTGGCGTGATAGGTTATACTACTTGAAAAATCGATTCCTACCTGATTACACGGGCTCGATCGATGACCTGGTTAAATTTAACACTAGAACTACCAAACCCGTAAAAAATTACGGAATTCAGAATTATTATTTTAGAATTGTTGAAATTATTGTTTATTATTATTTATAGAGGTAATTCTGTAAGACAATAATAAGTCGAAAACAAAATTATTATCGTTTGAGGTCCTCTTTTCGAGAAAATTTGTGTTGGAAATGTGTATATGTATACGCGCGTAATTATTTAAATACCGTTACAGAAATTTTACCTAAAATTAATATCGCCGTATAATTGGAAACAAGACCAACAGGCTGTGTTAATTAAACGCATGCATTTTCAATGATTTATGTCTTAAAAAGGAAATGAAATGTGTCTGCCTACGTACGGCTTTTTTCACTGTGACATTTAACGTGTTCGTTTGATTCCATTATTTTAATAAAAGAAATATATTCCTCAATTTTTACTAAAATTTCAATTTCCATGGCAGAAGATAAAATACTTTTTTCACATGACGAGTACATTCGTTATTACCCAAAAATTAGTCAAACACTGATAAAGGGTTAATAACTCGAAAACCAGGAAACCTCGAACGCAATTTCGTTATTCTTGTTTGCCATCTAGAATCCATCCTGTGAAAAATGCCCCAAATTTTTATTTACATCCTCTACTAGACGTAGAAAGACCGCGAGTAAAATAAGCGTTTCGATAACTGGCCAGTGAATGTGGTTTTGGATCGTTGCATCGACCGTATCCCCCGATTTTCGACATTTCGACAGCGCAAAAATTTCTCCGGGCCCGTCGAACTTTTCGCGATAACGCTGCCAGAGACGAAGGAAAAAAAACCGCAAAGATACGATCCTCGAGTGTTTTTTGGACGTATTTCAAGATAATAAAGCGATACTCCCGTTGTTCCACGTGACAGAACGACTCCGGAGGGGTAATATAATACGGGGCTCGAGCCAATCGGCTATTCGGACGGACCAATGATCGATCGATTTCGGATATTAAACGTAATGGACGCTCCGAGGGCATTCTCTCCTCCTCCTTTCTTCCTGCTTGCGGTTTTATCGGTACCTTCCAACTTTCCCTCCACCCCCATCCCTCCATCCCCATTTCCCCATGTTTTTCTTTCTTTTTTTTTTGCCACTCTACTCTGCATTCGATCCGCTTGTTTCGCTTCCCATTCTCCCTCGATTCGTTTAGATTCCATTCTTTCGGTTTTATCCGGCATTCAGGAGAATTAGATAGGCCGATACGTGGCGGCAATATTGTTAGGGGTCCCGTCCGTGTTGCGTATTGATTAATTCAGCGGGAAAAAACAATGGAGCCAAACACGCGATTGCGTCCAATATTTATTCGGTCCTACGCTCCACCTTCAGTTTTCATACGTGAGAATAGATCGATTTTCGGACCGAGTACGAAAGAACAGAGAAGGAAATCGGTTGGACACGTTAAATGTCATGTCGTGACAGTTATCTTTTCGTTGACGCTGTGTCGGACATCGATGATGGACCCACAGTGGAACAAAATGATTTCATGGCGATCGAAAATTTGTAACTTGGTTCTGTTGGAAATATTGTAATGAAATTTCGAGGAATTACACATTAGTTTATTGGCCTTTAACCCTTTAATGCCCAGTTAACTTGTTCTAAAGTATGTCAAAGTCTGTCGTCGGTTAATATCTAACTTTGGCAGAAAGAATCCGAGGTTTCTTCTAAAATCGTGGTATGACCAGTCAGGTGTTGATTCTAAAAAAGAAAAAAATAACATTTTTTCATTTAAGGCTTCGTTTTCGAAAAAAATGAGTTAGAATTAAAACAGTTATTATTTTAAAATATTTTTTTATTATTACAATATTTTTTTGTTTATTAAAAATTAGCGAAGTCGAAGTGGTACAGTTCCCGCCTGTGATTCTATGGAATGTAACCAGCGAAACGAAATGCTCCCCGAAAAAGATATTCATCCATCGGCAACGGTCATGCGTGTATAAAATCAATCCGTGCATGAAAATATTTGATATTTCGATAAAACGACCGCGTCACTCAAACCAAATAATATTCGAATGCGAGACGAAATACGCGGGGCAAACAGGCAGGGTTTTCAGTCGCGACGTGTCACGATTGGAATAAAAATCAACGGTGAATCCCATCCGAAATCCCACGATTTTTCGACAATTAGTGGGTTACGAATTTGGTCACGTTTACAATATTTTTCTTTTTGAATTTTCATGAAAATCGACTGATTCAGGAAGATTGAAGGTTATGTTTTGATGATTTCAAATTCATTGAGTTGAACTTCCGTTCGTTGTGGTTGGTACGTGAGATTTTCAATAAATTCGCATTAGGAATTATTATTTTAGGAGATATTTTAACTGAACAATTGGCGCAGCGGTACCAGTGATACGATATTTACCGTCATAAAGTTCACAAGTACATCCATAGACGTTGCATGTAATTTTGAAATTAAAATATCTCCTAAACTAATGATTTCTCGGTATAAATATGTTAATAATTTTTTACAGGGAACGCCGAGCTGCATCGATGAATGCATAAAAAAATACATGGTTCCATTTAAAAAAATAAAGTTGATCTTCATATGTCCTCTACGCCTCCATCTACAAAAAGACTACAGACATCAAATTATGTTCCCCTCGATATCATTCAACTTTTGTTCGAAACATTTTCCAATATCACAAATAATTTCAGAGATGTTCGAGGGGATCGATTTAAATAATACACCCTGTATCTCCGTTTCGATTTCCATTTGTCCACGAAACAGCCTAATTTGTCTCATAATTCTCCGACACAGAAGCGTAGATCAAAGCTAAAACCGGCTTTCTGTCGTCCAACTGTCTGACGCCCGGGGTCTGTGTTGTTCTGTTTCAGGAAAAAATAGAGTATATATTTCTTGTGATTTTTACGGTCGAGTGCGTAATGAAGATCATCGCCTACGGCTTCGTGGCTCATCAAGGGGCTTATCTCCGGAACGGATGGAACATTCTAGATTTCTCGATAGTAGTAATAGGGTGAGTACACACGTAATCCCATTCTACTTTTTCCGTTTATCCCGTTTTATCCGCGCGTACCTACTTGTAGAGTCACGAGGGAACAGAATATAAAAGTGTAAAAATACGAGGAGCTCGAGATCTCTTTCATTAAACGGACAATATCGTTTTAATGAAAATCGCGACGGAAGGACGAGCGCATTAAAACCAACGCTTCTCGAACGGTCAAGTGTAGCTTCGACGCGATCATCGTTATTTACGCGGCGAAGTTTGTTTCGATCGAAAGTTCAAAACATTCTGCGCGAATATGAAACGCAGTTGGCAACAGGATTATGAAATTTCCTCGACAGAGATCGAACTCCTCCTGAGTAAGCGGGTTATGAATTGTTGGTCCGATTGTTAGAGGATGTTTAGAACGGCATTGTAGCAAGTGGTCGGCACTCAAACCGTTCAAACGTGTTTAACACCCCGTCTGGATAGAATGGAGAAGGGCTTCGGAGGGTCTAGGTACAAAATACCTGAAATGAATAATTCGAAAATATTTTACCCCTTTTAATTCTGTTTATTTGTTTAGTAAAATAGTACCATTAAATTTTTAATTATTTGTTATGCACACTGTTGGTCAAAAGTTTGGCACCAAAGCTCATGATTAATGGAACAGTAACTTGTTTATTCTGTCCAGAAATTAGTGTATACACGAATTATTTTCAATCGATTTTAGCACATTTACTTTTACCAAGTCTTCGTAGAATAATATTTTTCTCTTTCTTTAGTTATCAGATTTGATCCCGTACTTTCGACCGATAGTGTATATATTATTATATTGGTCACTGTCGCGATCATTCCTATCCGAATGAAGCCAAAATATTTTTCTTTTTTAATTTTACAGTTCGAGAAATACGAAAAAAAAACATTGTACAAAAAATCGATACTTAATTTTCAAACTGCAGCCATTTAAAAAATGTTTAATATTTCAACCGAAATATTAAATTTACTAAATTAATATTAATTTTACTAAATTTTTTTTCGTATTTCTCGAACTGTAAAATTAAAAAAGAAAAATATTTTGGCTTCATTCGGTTCATGTGATACCTGCGATAGCCGTGGCCGTGTCAATTTCAGAATCTTTTTAGTTTTTTTTTTTTTAATAAACACAACGACCAGAATCATAGCAACCAATCGAACAATTTTTTCCAAGGTGATCGTTTTTCATGGGCTGCAGCGCCATCATTTTTTCATATTCCTAACCAATCAAAATTTTCATTCATACCTTAAGATATAATAAATATACAAGAGAAACGTGCAGCATAAAAATCTTTCATTAGATCCTTAAAAAAAAATTAACAAAATCGTTTGTCACAGTAGAATATCTCCTTAATAAGAGCAGCGGAGCGAAACGGTGCGGAAAGGCACCTGGAATTCAAGCGGTCGCGTGCTTTTCTCCACACGGAAGTTTATCGGTCCGCTGGGAGAACGAACACGTTTGTGGCTGTATCGTAAATCGACGATTATGGGAATCGTCGGGGCCAATAAACGGGAACTTTAGTGCGATCGCACGGATTCTCGCGATCAAGATCCTGTCCACGAATTTCATCCCGCCGTTTCATCGTTGTCTATAGAACAAAGAACGAGTCCCGTTGCTCCAATATCCAGCGTCGATACACCGTGATGACATTGGATCGGCACGCGACCCGTCGCTTTGTTCTCTTCCGCCATGTGCGCGCGCGCACCACTTCAATTCAATAAGTTCTGCTTAGTTTGCGAAACAGGAGGAGTTTCCGTCGTTTGCTCCAAGTCTGTCGTTGGTTTGCGTCGGCGAGGAGTGCTTTTAATTTCAATTCGAGCCCCCGCTCCCTGGCGAACCGATACGCGTCGGAACTTTTTCCGCTATCCGAAGGCACGAATTTTTCGTGTTTCGCGACTCCCACGCGTACGCTGACTGGAAATTTTCCGTTTTCCATCGCGGAATCTCCCGATAAGACGGAAACGGATATGAAAAAGGCAGGAGGAAATTCGTCGATACGATCGAATGGCAGTAATTGAATATGGAACACCATTTTGTTTTTCGAATGTCATTCTTACAGAATTAATCGCAACAAATGAAAAACTTTGACGGGTATTGAGTCCATGTATTTACGCTCAGTTTAAGAGCAGTCTTATATGTTTTACGGTATGAACAATGTTCGGTTTTGAACTAACATTAAGAAGAAAACATAAATTGTCATGGTCTCTTCAAGGCCATGTCATTAACATCTCTGAATGTGTTTTAATGTCAGCTACAATATACGTAGGAAAAAGATATACACTAATATGAAAACAAAATACGATGACCTTGAAAAACCCGATCTTGGACCACCGGGATCGTTTAATCCTTGTGTGTCTTTGCAGAATGGTGAGCACGGTGTTGACGATGCTCATGAAAGAAGGCTTCGACGTGAAAGCGTTAAGGGCGTTCCGAGTGTTACGACCGCTCAGGCTGGTATCTGGAGTACCAAGTAAGGGGCAAATTTTCATATCAAACCGATAACTCCGACTGATCCACGATTCGGCCGATCACATCCCCGCGTGTTCATATTCAGGGACTTAAATCGGTATGATTTTGATACCGGTGTTATACCATCAAAGCTATACCGAAGACAGATATATTACCGAAAACCGAAATAAATACCGGTATTTTTTCGATTTCTATAAAGGTAGGGTTCATATAGGGGTATATAAGGCGAAGGTACAACCGAACCGGTATAATACCGGTATTTTACGTTTCGGTCGAAGTCCCTGGTTCATTACCAAACGGATCGTTCACGCCGATATCAGTTTTTTTTCCCGATTATCCGTCGAGGAAAGGGCATTTAAATTCGCCCCCTCTGGTTAACGAATCTCTTCTCCTTCGATCTGTTCAGGTCTTCAAGTGGTCCTGAACTCTATTTTGAGAGCGATGATACCCCTTCTACATATCGCTCTGTTGGTTCTGTTCGTCATCATTATTTACGCTATCATCGGCCTCGAGCTGTTCTCCGGAAAAATGCATAAAACGTGCAGGCACAATGTCACGGGTAAGTTGGCGAGTTGTCTTGAACGACTCCTCCCCAAAAAAAAATTTTGACGTCCAGCGCATGTATGCCACTGAACTCTAAACTACCTAGAATGCGCACTGCGTATATAAGAAACTGGCGCTTTTTCTTTTGCACGATCTATGAAATGATTTTTTGTAAAGTTTTAATAAATGTAAGTTCCAATAAAGCCATCACTATTGTAGTTCTGACGAATGAACTGTTGTTTTAAATATGACTATAATTGTTAGCAACGTTCGAGAAACGATCCTCTACGATTGCAATAGACGATGCAAAATTCTCGAATTATTAAACATAGTCTCTATTACTTAAATAGTAAGTAATTAATATAAATATTTGCACAGTTCAAACAAAAATATGTATTAAATTCAAGTCGCATGATTTCAGGGTAGTAGAACGTTACGACAGGGTAGTATACTTTAAAAAAGGATAAAGATACCCACTAAATACTACTTTAAATACTACTCTATCCATGCCAGTGCGTATTCCAGGTACAATTTTAGAATTCAGTGATCTACGCTAGAGGGACGCCATCTTTGGCGGTTCGATATCTCGATACGATGATCGAACGCGGCGATATTCGATTGGTCGTGCGTGTTCGGCGCGAACGATGGATAGACCGCCTGGACTTCTGGGAATTCCCCTTTGCTTTTGGATTATGGACACCGAGGATCGATCGAAAAAATTACGTAAGACTCCTGTGTTGGGGAGCAGAGGCGATCGATCGACCCCCGGGTGGTCCCGTACACACGGGTGGAAGAAGAGTGTTCCTTGAAAAATGAAATATCGAGGAGAAGTTGGCACCGGCGACCGTCGAGGGAGTTCCCGGCTTAACCTCAAAACACACTTTGGATCGGCGCTATTTTAGATATGATTCAGCCGCCACCGCGCGACAAAACCAACGTGTCTAATTATTCTTAGCTGCGTGGAACGCGAGCTGCTGCGCGCGAACGGGACGGCCGTGTCTGTCCCACACGTTGAAAACAGCTGATTCATGGGAGAGTTCGCGGGATTTTCGGCTACCTGCCCCTAGGGATGAACCGATACCGTCAAGGTAACGATACTTTTACTCATAACTTGTATCGAAGAAAAGTATCGATACCTACTTGTATTGATTATTAACATAGTAAAATAATTGGTCGACAACCACCTTCACATTCATTAGTTTTCATATATCGATTACTCGCTCCATTCGATATGAGTACTTTCTTTCGATACCGAGTATATGTATATCGCAACCGAAAGTATCGATACCAAAAATGTTCGGTATCGAAACGAAAGTATCGATTATTTACTTGTATTTACTTGGATCGGTTCATCCCTACTTGCCCCACCGAGTGAAGCAAAATCAGCCATTTGGGCCAGTGATGTACCAGGATTTCAGCGAACACGTGCGATCATTAATTTTTTAACTGTACACCAGAGTGGTCCAGAATTAAAATTTAACAGCTGATACGGTTATTTGACTCAATCAATGAAATTTTGAAACTTCTATATTTTATTTGAACAGAAGTAGATAAACGAAGGGTATAGCAAGATAAGAGGGTTAAAAGTGCCCTTAAACCGAGTTGTACGAGCGTTGGACCATTCGATAGGTTGCCAAGAAAAAACAGTTTGTACCAAGTTTCAACCCTCTATCTCGATCTGGAGTCATGACAAGCTATCGAATGGTCCTATGCCCGTTCAAATCGGTCTAAGGGCACTTTTGACCCCCTTATCCTACTACACCCTTTTCTATCAATTTTAGGGATCCCTCGTCGACGACATTATCATTCACTCAACAGTGTTCTCAACATCTTCATGAAAATCGGAATATTTAGAGAACTTTTTTCTATTTTTTGACTAAAACTGATGCAACGCTGCATAAACTGCTAAATTCTTAAGTGCATAAATGATCACGTGCCGTCTGTGGAGGCTGATATTTTCGAGGAATGTGGAGAAATACGAAATTCGGGTTGGAAAAACGAAAACGAGTTGGGGGTTGATTAACGAACTAGTTTTTGTGGAACGTGTGTTCGCAGACGCGATAATGGAGGAACCAGTTCCGTGCGGACCGGGCGGCTTCCAGTGCGACAACGTGGGACCCGAGTACTATTGTAGCAAACTGTTCTGGGAGGGTCCGAATTGGGGTATCACGAATTTCGACAACTTTGGCCTGGCCATGTTGACGGTCTTCCAGTGCGTTACCCTCGAAGGCTGGACGGACGTTCTCTACAGCGTAAGATCAATGCTATCTTTTCGGTGGAGGACGGTCTCGGCCACTTCCGTTATTGTCCCGATACCGTGACCTCAGAATGGCTCCGCGAAGCTTTTACAGCTCTGTGCCTCCCGGAAAATTTCTTCCGATGTACAACGCAACCGTCGAATAACACAGTTTCGCTCTAACACGAGTTAATATTTGTTCAGAATAATATAGTTTTATTAGTTTTTGGAACCTAACCATGTTTTTTGTATCCACATATACAGGGTGTGGTGGAATAACATGTTTTTTTATTATTTTGTAAACGTTTAATATTTACATTACTAAACGTTAATTTTGAAAGATGCTTAATAGGTATGTTTAAAATCTGCTATCTAACCTAAGAATAGAATAACTCAGTAAATTTACTTCAACTAATTACGTTTCTCTTTCGATTTTAATTTTTCTCGGAATTTAATCAAGTGCTCAGTGATTCATGGAAAAAAGTATAAATATTAGGTCTAATTACGTTTCTCTTTCGATTTTAATTTTTCTCGGAATTTAATCAAGTGCTCAGTGATTCATTCAAAAAAGTATAAATATTAGGTTTTAGTTTCGTGTACCACGAATTCGCGGAGCTCGTTATACGGAGACTACCTGTATTTATTGTTAATACATTTTAACAAATATTATTGATACGGCACGTAGTACATGCCAATTTACAAACTCTGACAATAAGAAGGAAACTGATCGAATCAATTCTTCGCCATTGGTCACGATAGCACGATACGCTTGAGTTTGCGTAACAGTATAGAGCAGTAATTTCATCGAGGCGAGTTTACGATTGTGACGCAAATCGATTTCTTCGAAAGCAATTCTAACGAGCAGTTTCCTTTCGTTCTTCTCGACCACTTACAAGGGAACTTCGATACCTGGAAAATTCCGATTTCTCGTTTTTGCTGATATTCGGTTCTTAAGGGTGAAACCACCCGTAAAAGTTAATGTGCGCTTTTCTATTTTCCTGTATATCTTGAAAACTATAATATATAATATATATCAACAAACTGTTGAAATGAAAATTGAATGGCTTCTTGCGCTTTATAAAACTGTCTAACAAAATTGTTAAAAATTTGTTTCTTTATTTGTTTGTTTATTTAAAAAACAAACTTTTAACAAATTTATTACACAGTTTTATAAAGCATAAGAATACATTAAATTTTCATTCTGACACTTCTCTTATATCCATTACAGTTTATAAGATATACAGAAAATTAGGAAAACACACATTAAACTTTAAGGAATGGTTCCACCTTAAAGAACCGAATATCAACAAAAACGTAAAATTGCTCGATGCTACCAGTGAGTTCTCCTAGTAACACACAAAGTTTAAACGAAAATCGAAATTCTCGGAATACCAAAGTTCCCTTGTTAGCTATGTGTATAACAGTTTCCGTCCAACCGTTTTGCCCTCCAGATCGAAGACGCGATGGGCAGCTCGTGGCAGTGGATTTACTTTATTTCTATGGTCATACTCGGAGCTTTCTTCGTGATGAATCTGATTCTCGGTGTGTTGTCCGGGTAAGTATCACGGAAAGACTTAAATATCGATAGACAAGAGTCGACAGGGACCCAATGGGAGAGTTGCTCGATTGAAAAATTTTCTGTTCCTGGAAAAATCACCATTTATTTGATTCCTCCGCGAAACAAACGGGTATAATTCGATGATATCGGCTCCTGCAGAGATAAACTCTCTCCAACTCCCCTGGAACGGCTGCTAAATATAAATATCCACTGTTTGGCCACCGTATAGAAGCGTCCCGGATAGACTCTGTCTCCCACAACGCGCAACTATACGGCCGACAATCGAATCACATAAAACCCCTACGGCAGAGATGGGCAAATTTTATTTCGAATAACGAATGAACTCCCAGGATTTATTCGCGAATAACGAATAACGATGTATGGATGACTGAAAATAATACAAAATTTGTCTAACCGTTTTTTCGATATCTTTTATAGTTCACGAGTTAGAAACTAATAAATAAAAGGGACACTTACGATAAGAAAGGTGATTTTCTCCCTTAAAGTCTAAAAGTAGCACCAAACGAGTACGCCAAAATTCTCCGATCTGCCCCATAAAGAGTCGAGCAAATTCGCAAAATAATTAGCGTACATTCTACTTGCGATCATACCTTGTCGGTCGAATTCTCGGAACATCAACCGATCCAGATAAGCGTCCAGATAAGGTCACGGACGCTTAAGCGGGCACCACTGTATTCCCAGACGTTTTCTTGGGTCTGCATTCTTTCGTGCGCGATAAGACAATCGACGGGATAGGGGGGAGCAAGCGGAACGCGCCCAAGGAACCCGGTAATCGATCAACACGAACAAAGGGAAAATAGGGCAGAAACTTCCGAACAAAGTTGCCATCAGTTGGGTTCGCCGTCCCGTCGTGAGACACTTGTTTCGCCCAGAAATCGACGGCGGTTTTCGATTTCCGCTGGCGAAACATTCGAACTATGGTAGACACGTCACCAGTATTCCTTATATGTATGCGGAGATAATTGTATGGATGATAAAGTAATAAACCTTGGCGGGGCCACCGAAACGGATTTGCTTTTGGCGATCGATAAAAGGTATCGTGACAATGGGGAACAAACATCTCGACGAATGACGTTCAAAGCATCCACCTGCCGAATTGATTTCCCTTATAGATTGATTCAAACAATTTTTTTTACACTATTTGTAACGAATAGAACCGTTATTATTTTAAATCTTAAACGTGAGATTATATATTTTTCTACGAATTTTCTAATTATTAGAGAATTTAATATGCTAGGTATTGGATCATAGTTGATATTATTTATGAACATTTGACCATACGAGCTGCCACTATGAAAAGTTCCTAACCTAAATGTGACCAGACATCGGATGTACGCGTATTGTATACGATGTCCCTCCAAGGATAACGGTGCACTCTTAAAGCCAGTTGTTACCAGAGATAAAATATTTACGGCTCCCGTGGGTTTACTACCTCGCTATAACGTGTTACATCCAACTATACATCAAACGGGTACCATACTCCCTTTATACATCGTGTTTCTCCGGTGCAGCGAGTTCTCGAAGGAAAGAGAGAAGGCGAAGGCGAGGGGTGACTTTCATAAACTCAGGGAGAAACAGCAGATCGAGGACGATCTGAAGGGCTATCTGGACTGGATCACCCAGGCGGAGGACATCGAGCCTGAGACCGACGAGCCCAAGATGCAGGACGGAAAATGTAAGATGGCGTCGATCAACGACCGGTAATTTTACACGCAGAGATGGGCAAATTCATTACTTGGATAAAAAATTTCGGATAATAAAAAGAGATAAAAGAAAGTTATTCGCCAATCACAAACGTGGAAATTCGAATTTTTATAGTAAAATAATACTTCAATGAGTAGACACTTGGCAATTACTTAATCTCGTTAACTGTTTAACACTTTGAATGCCACGTGACTTCAATTTTTTCCCAACTCTGTAACGAAGTAACGACGCATAGTATTTTAGAACAGTCATCTGACCGCAGGAAACTTATAATTTCGATAATTTTCCATTATTTAATTCTGGGTTTCTTTAAATTCTTAAATCTGCGATTATCTGCGAATTTGAGATTATCTGCGAATTCATGAAGAAAATAATAAAAAAGGTCATAATGTTCAATAATCTTACTTGTTCTTGATGATCTATAGACTTTCAAAATGAAATACAGTTTTTCGCGGTCAGACGGCTGCTTTAAAAGATCGCACGGTGGAAGGAAGAATGGGTTTAGTATGTAGAACCATACGAAATGATATGATTCTTCCAGCGAAGCAGCAGAACGAGATGGAGAGCACGGATCAGTTGGAGAGCGACGAGAAAGGGACGCAAGAGGACTCCGTATGGAGGAAAAAAAAGCGGGACTTCGACAGGTAAGTCCGTTGTGGTTTCGCGAACAAAATTGACGGGTTGAGCAATTTATCGGTTATTTCGATGAATTCAAATGTTGCACAGATGGTCCAGAATTAAAATTTAGCAGCCCATATCGATTATTTAGCTAAAACGATCAAAAATGTTGAAACTTAAAACGTTGATTTAAATCAAAATACTATGTACAAATTTTTATCAATTTTTAAAATTATCCTGTATGACGTCATTATTCACTAACAGTTTTCCGAACATCTTCATGAAAGTCTAAATTATTAGGCAATTTCTATCTACTTTTTTTTAACTAACTTCCATGGTTAACCCTTCAACGGTGTTTGACGAGTATACTCGTCATCTTTTAGTAATTTTAGTTACGCAGGCAGATACACATTTCCAAAAGAAAAGTCCACCCCTTAAAAGGTTAATAATCAGTTAATTTTTTTTTTTAAGTAAAATGAAATTTATTTTTAACCATTTGAACAGCTAAATTTTGATTCTGGACAAATTTACATTTGGCCGTACCGCGATTATGTAAGCACAATTCGTTGGAGTAGCCGACCGCAAAAGGGACGAAACGTTGCATATTAATCGACTATCCACGAGATCGAGGGAAGCTTGTACACCCTGAATCAACGAAGTGAGCCTCGCCTCGGATCACCGTCTTTGATCGAAACGATTTTGCAATGGAAATTTCACAGGGTAAACAGACGAATGAGGAGGGCCTGCAGGAAGGCGGTCAAGTCGCAGGTTTTCTATTGGCTGATCATAGTGCTGGTGTTCCTGAACACCGGTGTTCTGGCGACCGAGCATTACAATCAACCGCATTGGTTGGACGATTTTCAAGGTATATGCTATTCGAATGTATACAGGGTGACAAAAAATAAATGCATATTTAGTTTCGGTTATAACTTCAATAAATCAAAATAAATTTAAAAAGTAATAATACATAACATTCGAAATGGTTTATGCTTTGATGCATAGGTTGAAACGCTTAGTAAAGTTTAGACATCTTTGTTAAAAACAGATGGCACGAGATCGAAACATGAAGTTAAACTATAATAAAGATTAAAATTTTGGCAATACAATCAAACAAATATTTTTGAAATAAATTGTCAAATTATGCTTCTAGGACATTTTAAATTCCAATACATTTATTTCTTGTCACCCTGGTTATAAACGGTGAATCTTGTAACACGACGATTTCAAAAATATTTCAAACGAAAGTCGCATGGTTTCCAAGGGAACGTACAGTACTGTAATCGATTTGTTGTTGCTTTGTTTATTTTTTATATACGAAGGTCACCTTTAGTTTTTTAAATCGAACACCTAATATTTCTTCTAATATTTCTTCTAATACTTCTAATATTTTGACTTACCTCATCTGTGTCCGATGATCGCCACCAATTTTTTGTGATTTTTTTGTCACATGATGGTTCTAAATCATCGTTTACTTTCTTTTTTCCGTTGCGCAGAGATCACGAACATGTTCTTCATCGCTCTGTTCTCCATGGAGATGATGCTGAAGATGTACAGTTTAGGATTTCAGGTAAGTTCCCGCGAGCGATCAAGCGAGAATAACGATCGAGAAACAGTTGGATCATCGTGAATTTTCGTTCTCCAGGGTTACTTTGTCTCGTTGTTCAATCGTTTCGACTGTTTCGTCGTGATCGGTTCGATCACAGAGATGATCCTGACGAACACTCAGGTGATGCCGCCGCTTGGCGTCTCTGTGCTGCGTTGCGTCCGATTGCTCAGGGTATTTAAAGTGACGAAGTAAGCACAGTTTCCATCCTATACAAACGAGAATAATCGAGACTGATAATATTTAGGTAACGAAGAAAGTTTTGTTACCGTTTCTAGATTTTTGTCTTTTGTCAATCGAAAGTACGGTTACGTATACTTAAACAAGAGCTTATTATTTTTTTTTTTTATTAGCATTTAGAATCTCAACTGAGACACATCTCTGCAATACAAGATATAGGTTTTTAATTACATTACGCACACCCATTGACTAAACTTATAACAAATTAAATTAAATTTACAGTTTACAATTTTTTTTTAAATTTTACATGTGAAAACAAGCATTCATTTTGGGTTGGGCAACTGACATTTGTTAGAGATTATTTAACAAACAATTTATCTATAGCACTTACGAAAATTAATTTTCATTTTGGGTTGGGCAACTGACATTTGTTAGAGATTATTTAACGAACAATTTATCTATAGCAGTTACGAAAATTAACCATTTAAAGTTTTGAAAAAGTAATCTCGGTATGACTGTGTCAACGTCAATTATACGGACTTGTTTATTTTATAAATTCAGATTAAACACCAGGTGTCAATTGTGCCATACCCTATATTCCCTAGAAATCGCGCCTTCGGACTACCATCTTTTCTCGGCAATATGCAACCATTCACAAAATTGGCGATTCCAAAATCGACAACACTTGAAAAGAAGTTGAAGCATTCTTTTTATACCAGAGAGGAAAACTTTCCTAAGAAAATAATAAAAAGGTTGTTAAATTGTTGGGAAAAAGTAACAGAAGCCAAAGATGACTATATTTCTGAACTATTATTCGATCCACGTTCTGTACGATTTATCACGATTGATTAATAACTGCAAAAACTTTCTTGGTTACCTAATATAATACTCGAGATTCATTTCGCTGACCACGCGCTGTTCCGTTTTCAGATATTGGAGATCGTTGTCGAACCTGGTGGCGTCCCTGTTGAATTCGATCCAATCGATCGCGTCTCTGTTGCTTCTGCTCTTTCTGTTTATCGTGATCTTTGCCCTTCTGGGCATGCAGGTACACAGATCACCACTGTTCTCCACATTTTACCACTGACTTTTGCCACGTCTGCTTATTTTTAACGACTTCGTTTGTTCGCAGGTTTTCGGTGGGAAATTTAATTTCAGCGAGTTGCAGGACAAGCCTCGTCACAATTTTGACAGTTTCTGGCAGAGCCTGCTAACCGTCTTTCAGGTAAATATTACATTATTCAACAAATTTTAACATTCATCCCACCTCATATCCGTTAATAGAAAAACAAGAATTTATATTATTTTGTTCGGGAGAGTCCAGAGAATGATTTCGAGTCAAAAGCAACTGACTAACTATTACTGTAAAAGTACAACAGACCTCTAAAATTGAAACTTTCCAATTTTTTTTAAATTGAGTATTTCGAAAATTGGACTTGCTGGGAAAAACAATTTACAGATTACAGCCTATTTATCCAGATACAGCCTATTAAAAAAAATCATATCCAACTATATTACTACCATGATCAATAGCAAGATCCTACAGAAGTTTTGCCACGATCCTCATATTTTGTAAGGTGTACACTTAGTTTTGACTCTCACTGTAGATCTACCAGAAACGCTTATTAACGGTTTTGAGGTATTTTACACGTTGAACAGTGTTATAAATATTCGAGTGGATGATCATAAACACCGGAAGTATCATTGTTGTCCCTTTTTGATCACGCATAGATATTAACTGGCGAGGACTGGAACGCAGTGATGTACGACGGGATCAGAGCCTACGGAGGCGTCGCGAGCTTTGGGATGCTCGCCTGTTTTTACTTCATCATTCTGTTTATATGCGGTAACTGTATCCTTTTTTCGATGACGCGCAACTAAGAACGACAGGAGGGGAAATTTCTGGGTCAGGATGTCTTGAGAAAATTTAAATTCTTCCGAGTTTTCGCTGTTTTTCAAGTCACCGCTTCTGTAAATGATCTCGCGGGCGGACAACGAATTCAAATAAGATTCAGCTGACGGGGCGTTAAAGATCCTCGTTGATCTTTCGTACTCCACCGAGTAAATGATCCTTAACGTGGGAAGTAACGTAGATATCCTACTGAACGTCTTCTTGGCTATCGCTGTCGACAATCTTGCGGACGCCGAATCGTTAACTGCTATCGAGAAAGAAGCCGAGGAGGAGGTAAGTTTCCTTTGTTTTAACTTAACACTTTCGATACCGTAGACAGTCGCCATTAAATAAAAAAAATAAAGGTATCGATATTTTTACTCATAACTTGTATCGAAAAAAAATATCAATACTACTTAGTGTCGGATCAGAAGTATCGATACCGAATTGTGTCGAATGAATATGAATATAAATTTATTTTTTATTAATATAATATTTATTTATTTAGTTAGTTATTTAACGGGTATAAACCCAGTATACATAAATAACCATTAATGAAAATAAGATTACAAACAGTTATATATTAGGTTTACCGGAAAGTTCTGTCCGTATTTAAAGAAAATAATACATTTTCAATGCATTTATTAATATTTACTGAACAACATAATGATTTGATGTGGATAGCGAGAGAATCACCCTGTTCAATGGTAAAATCAGGCAGCCATATATGTTTCAAACAAACACGTTGAAATTTAGTGGAAAGCTGTAGTATTTATAGGCGTCATCCTGAGCTTTAAACAAGTAACTTTGAATATCTGGTAACGCTTTCCACTTTAATTTGGGTAACTTTTTTCGTGTGACTTTCACAATGCATGGTCATGCATTATTGTTCTGTAGAATTGCTCATTTTCAATTAAGTAGTGATTAAATTTCGGCGGAAACTGCATTTTTAAACTGTACCGTAGCACACGCTAAAGTTGAATGATTGTACCGGAAAATGATCATCGTAAAATCCTGGTCGGATTTTCCTTAAAGTCGTAAACGCAAAAACTTAGTTTTACAACCCAATACGTGCGACTCAAATCAAGCGTATTTTTTTTTGATAGTTATTAACATTTTCAACGGCAGCCATATATGAGCCGTTCGTTTGCTGAAGGGATTAACTTCCACAAAGAGTATATTTAAAATTTATTTTTAATATTAAAAGTTGAGCGTCGATCAAGTGCTTTGATACAAAAATTTCAAAAAATTCAAAAGGTCGCGTTTGTCACTTTGGCTTGGGAACTGCTGATATGTGCACAGCGTGTGTCCACAAAGGTAAATAGGAGCGTGTCAAATACTCTCGTGTCACGTGTGCTCTTTTCAAAGGCTGTCGACGTAGCGAAGGGTTTCAAATTATTTGACACTTTCGTGTTACTGGGTTGAGTCATAAGTAATTCCGTTATATCTACATAGTAATTTCACATTGCATAATACTTTAGATTATCAAATCCGAATGGAACCATACATTTTACAGCATACTATTAGAAGTTGAACAGAAATTCGAGGAAAGATCGAAGAAAAGCACCCATATTTGGAAAAGTGTTGTATCTAGTGCAAAGCACTTTATATTGGAATAAATACACGTTTTTTTTTTTCGTTTTTATTAACCCTAGGTCGTCATACTTATTTTTTCAAACGTAGTCGACAAAAAATCTTAAAGAAAAAGAAGTTCCAAAAATATATTATACATTCTAAGAAGTTGGGCCCTTCGTTAATAATACAAATCTCAAGCTGTTTCACAAATAGCTCCGATTTTTCTGCTAAAAATTAAAAGTGATAATGGGAAAAAATGCATTTTTCATCGCGACCCAGATAGCGCGTAACGCCTTGAATACGGCTTAAAGACGCCTTAGACCCAAAATAGCGGTAAAATGGCCGTCTCCAAGGCGTCATGTGCTATCTGGGATTGGTTGGCAATCCAATATGGAATATCTTAGGAAAGGCACGATTATTGGCTAATCTGAAAGGCAACGGCACGAGGCCACCTGATATCCCTATATCCTGGTCGTCATTACAGGGCATCTTGTGTTACGTGAGTCTGCTCTCGTCGATCGTCTTATCATTGAAACTGATCCGGCAGGAGCGCGTCTTCGGTGACACCGTAGAGGGGGGTTTCACTTCGTGTCCTGGATAGGAACGAATCGCGCGCGAGGAGGGGGGTGTCGCCTCAATAAACATTTGGTCGTCCCGTTTACTTAGCAGGCGAGGACGAGACCGCCGTGGGAAAATTAGAATGCCGGTCGTTTTATCGTTTCCTCAAAGAGTCGTCGAGAATAGAGGGGGCTCTCTCGTTTGCCGCCATCCCGTAATGACCGTCGCCGACGGCGACGCCAACGCCGACGCCAGACCGCAGCCGCCCCTACGCCCTCGAGCAGCCCCCCAGCCGACGTCGTTCGACCGGCTTTTTATTGCTCGTTACCCGGCCTCGGGTTTGAATCTTACGAATATTTGACGCGTCCCACGTAATTACCCGATGCGAATCTAGGCCGTGTGCCGCCCCCGTAGCCAATCCTCCGGACACATTATTTTCCCACCGGCTCGAACAACAATCGACGATCTCTCGTGTGCCGCCTAGTTTTTAATTAAAGGTCGCGGAATCAATTACCTGGGATTGCCACTCGCGCGGCTGGGTAGTACGTGTGTACCACGGTTAATCGTTCAAACGCCCAAGGGTAGTTAACGGATATCCTGTCGGAAAATGACGATCGACGGAATCACGCCGAGAAAATATATTTGACGAATGAGTCAATGAGATTTAATTATTTACTTCCTTAAATAACATGTTTTTAACTGGACCATTGCATTATTTTTGCAAAAAAAACTATTTTAATTTGTTTTGTAACAATTTTTTTGATAGCTGATATAGTTTTTGAGATATATAGGAATATAGAAAGCGTAAAGTTAATTTTAACCTTCTATAGCCCAGGATTATTGAAGCAGGGATGTTCGATTTCTACAGGTTGCAGAAGTTTCTTCGTAAGTTATCCGGGCAATCGGCGTTTCTTGTTCTTCTAATTCCTATCAACGTGTACACATGTTTTAATTAATTATCAATTAATTCTTCGCATTTGATACATAAAACTATCTTTTTTAACGAAAGAGATGTTAAATAATATTGTGTTTGAAATTGAGACGATTTTTAGATTAAAGGACAGTAATTGGGACATCCACCCTACATGTTTAACGAAAATTTGAATTCGTAACTCGAATACAGGAAACGTTGAAACAGACCGGTCCCTGATATCCTGGATCGCAGATAGTCAGTTCACTTATTTATCCCGTGGAAGTAGAAGATAGACGTTCCTTGAGCCGTCACGGAAACTAGATACGCCATAATGGTAACCTAAAGAGGGTGACATAATTATGTGCAAAGCTCCTTAGTCGGAAATTTAATAAACGAGGCATGCGGGGCCATCTCAGGTTTAATAAAGCGGTCGAATAGCATACCGGATACACATAGTGTGGACTCCTAGTTCTGCTTCCATCCTAGACATACAGTGAGAGTCAAAACTAAGTGTACACCTTACAAAATATGAGGATCGTGGCAAAACTTCTGTAGGATCTTGCTATTGATCATGGTAATAATACAATTGGATATGATTTTTTTAACGTTTTCGGGATAAATAATCAGAAAATTCGGTTAAACATGGTGAATGAAAACTGAAGATTACACTCGGCTCCTCTAGGGGAAAAAGTGGCGTATCGAAAGGGCCTGCTACCATGCTCCTACCACTTGATATTGCGAATTACTGAAATTTATCCAAATTAACATTTGATTTAACATTTGTATCAGTACCTGAAATAAATTTATCATGTGGTAGGAGGCCTTTCCCATACAGCACTTTTTCCCCTAGCGGAATGGATTATGATTAGGATATTTAAATAGTTCAAAATCAAATTTAACTGCAAGCATGGGTCTTTTAGTGAGAGTTCATGACCCAAAATATGTATATAGCAAAGGTGATGAAAAATTGTTTGCTGGAAAACAGAAAAGTGAGAGAAATAAATATGAATGAATCCCATACTTTCAAAGTGTATACTCACTTTTGACTCTCACCGTACATGTAACGTGAAATAGTAAAAGACATTTTTCTCGTCATAATCATAACTTCGTTCGTCGAGGTCAGCCCGTTTTTTGTGTTCGTGCTAGGAATTAGTTTGGAATTGTTTGGCGGTTGATTTCCAACGAACGGGAGTATTGGTTAAAAACTATTTCCCCTATCCTTTAATCGTGGCAGTCCGATCCGCGGTGGACAACCACAAAAACGACAAAATCCGCGCACGCAAAATCGAGGTCGTCGCAATCGAATACCGATACACCGGAATTAAAACCGTTATCGAGAAACAGATCCTCCCCTGCCGTTGTTAGCTCTACCATCCGCCCTTCTGCGCTCTCTCTCCCCCTTTATTTCTCTCTTGTGTGTATGTTGTTTTTTTTTTTTCGTAATGTTTCGTAACGAACGACTATAAATACGCGGGGTAGCTCGAGCGTGAAACTCGCAACAAGGGTGGAGAAAAGAAGCCTCCGTTGAACAATAGACGACGACGACGACGTCCGACCGAACGACGTCGGCATCACCGCGTAGCTTAACGCTAAAAGTTTAATCGTTCGTGATTCGTCGATAAGCTAATGAAAAATCGTTAGCTCTCGAGCGTTAACCCAGCGAGGGTACGCTCGGCTGCGATGTCCCGTGGAATTCTCGTGTCGAAGGAACAGAGACTCGAGAGCCTTAAATAGGAACTCCAAGTCAATGGTCTCTTAGGCAGTCTCCCCAGTAGTCGCATTAAGAATCAATTAAAGGTACGGACAATCGGTTGAGGACACAACCCAGATAGCAGATGACGCCTTGAAGACGCCCATTTAACGGCTGTTTTAGGTCCAAGGCGTCTTTAAGACGTCTTCAAGGCGTCATGTGCTATCTGGGAAGACGCGTCCGGTTGTCGCTGAATCGTTCGCTTGGGAACAGGAAATCGAAATTGGATTCGTTGGTGTTTCAGGCGGAGAAGAATAAGTCGCACAGCGCCTCGCCGGCCAGGGATGAGGCGAGCGGGGAACAAGGCGACGGTGGCGAAGGAACAGGCGGCGAAGATGAGGAGGGCGGCGGTACGGATCTCGAGCAGGATCCGAACGAGACGATGGAGGATTATGAGGCGGCTTTGGACACGGAAACGTGAGTGTGCGGTCTAGCAATGGCGGTATTTCGAATATCGATACTTTTCAATTTAAATACTGATATTTTCTATCGGTATTCACTTTGACGGTATATTCGAGTATCGATACGTAACCCACAATAGCGATGGGCGATACAGTATCAATATTTCGAATATCGATACTTTTCAATTTAAATATCGATATTTTGTACCGTTATTTACTTTGACGATATATTCGAGTTTCGGTACTTAACCCCTTGGGTACGGATTTATTTGAGAAAATATTTGCATGTGGAACGGAAATAATTTTTGGTTGCTTGGAGTAGTATGTAAAGGCAGTACATTTTACGTAAGAATGTATTTATTTCTAAAATATTGGTGACATATGTAGTATTAAGATGTCTTCAACTAATTAGAATTGCAAAACAAAAATAAATTAATAACAACAAAATAAAACTAAATGAAATAAATTCAATTTATAATAAAATACAATTACTAATAATTATGCAGAGTGTGATATTTTTATTGATGAATGAAATTGATCAATAAAAAAAAAAAACTGACGTATCTCAGATGTCAAATGTACCTAAAAGTTTAATTTTTGGTTTGACGTCTTAGACACGTCATCCGCTCTTAGGGGAAAAAAGTGAATGACGTGTCTCAGACGTCAAATGTACCCAAGGGGTTAACCCGTAAATATCGTAATTTCTATTTTTTTTTTTGGGAGAGATATTACGGTGACCTTGAATTTTTCCTAGATCAATGCATCTTCTTCGAACACCACGTTGTTGTCGATGGAAGGAAGAATTCGGCAACTACAGCATGATAGTATTAAAAAAAAGATGCATTGACCTCGAAGGTCATCTTCATATCTCAACAAAAAATAAGATACAAAAAACCAGATTGTAGGATCCATCCGATACACCCCTTAAAATCCTTCAGAATTGCTTAAAATGTTTTTTTTTATACAACCATAGGTAACGAGTTATTTTAGATAATAGTTCTTATTGATTCACCCTGTACATGTGTATCGATACTCGGGGCATCAATACATATCGATAAAATTCAAATGGTATCGCCATCACTAGTGTGGTCTTATTCGGTCGTTGCGCGACCCAAGAAGAACCCACCCGGTTTATCGCCGATTGGCCAGAAATTCATTTCCGGAATTGCAGGTCGGAGAAGAGCGAGGACATGAACACTCACGCGAAAGTGCGGCTGAACATCGACTCCGACGAGGAGATCGAGGAAGAGGAGGAGATCGATCAGAACGGAATGCACGGTATATTTTTCTGTTTCAACCTCTCTCTCTCTCCGGGGATGACGTTTTTTTTTCCTCGAGTGGCACGTTTCTCTAACGCGAAAATATTTTTCCACAGACGATGGCACGGAACAAGGCGTGTCGGCGAGGCCCCGCAGGATGTCCGAGTTCAATATGGCCAACAAGACGCAACCGATCCCCGCTGGAACGGCTTTTTTCATTTTCTCGCAAACGAACAGGTATTGGAGGTTTCTTACGTGGCTTTATACGTATGTATTAGATCATCCCAATAAGTTAGGGGGCGTTTTATGGACTTGTATTTGTAACAATATAAGTCAACGTGATGGCCCACTTAGCTGCTTCGTAAGACCAGGGGTTTTCAAACTTAATTTCTCGCGTACCACTCAAATATATACACGAACGTACCACGTAACATTTATAATGGAGGAATATGTATCAAAGGAGTCAGCACACGACTGTAGCAGGAAAAATATATTCCGAGTGTAAGGTGAAATTGTTAAGAGTGAATCGATGCTGAAGAGGGTATGATAAATTTCGAGCAGATCTTAATGAGGACCTTGTAGAACTACGTGAAAAAATTGTATAGGTTACTACCAAATAAAATTCGTTAGTAACCATCGAAGAATTGGCGTAGAAGTAATTAATCGTTAATTACTAACAAAGCTGTTAATTCTCATCAACATACATACCAAGAAAACCCCCATTGCTTATGTAATGACCTAAATACATCTAACAAAAATCGTCGAACGAATGGTCCTCGTCTGACGTTATTCTTTTGTTTTCAGGATACGAGTGTTTTGCCATTGGCTCTGCAATCACAGCTACTTCGGGAACGTGATTCTCGTGTGTATCATGATATCTTCGGCCATGTTGGCTGCGGAAGATCCTTTAAGCGCTTCGTCGTATAGGAATCAGGTACACCGATATTTCCCAGGCCTGCTTTAACCCTTTGCGGACGATCGGGTTTAAACCATCAGCGTGTCGAATATGTTCATATATGTTTCTATCGGCTGTACAGCGTAAAGTCTCGATAACTGCGCGGAAGGATCTCTGCGTTAAATACTTCTACGTGATCCCCGCTACTGGACGATTCCACACAGAAAGCTCGGCCCGAAATGCAATTCATAAATTGCAAAAATTGTATCCGTCTACGATAACTGCTCGATACCTGTCCCGAGCATTAATCGAACATTTACTGTGTATACTTTCAAGTGACTATCACTACAGCGACTCACGTCCATAGAGCGTTTGGGTTCGACTCGTTCCGTTCGCAAAGGGTTAATACTTTCTGAAAAACTGCTTCCACTAATCGCAATCTCTCTCTCTTTCTCTTTCTGTCACAGATATTACAGAATTTCGACTATTTTTTCACCACAGTGTTTACGATCGAGATCTGCCTAAAGATGATCTCCTACGGTTTCATCATACACGACGGCGCGTTTTGTCGATCCGCGTTCAATCTGCTCGACCTATTGGTCGTCTGTTCCTCCCTTATTTCGATGTCTTTCAGGTGAGACCTCGTTCACAGAACAACAAACCGCTAATTTTAAAAGAACGAAAACGGTGTTCATGTCACGATGGTGGTATTTCAGTTCCGGCGCGTTCTCCGTGGTGAAGGTACTCCGCGTGTTGCGTGTCTTGAGGCCGCTCCGCGCCATCAATCGTGCCAAAGGATTAAAGGTATCTTTCTTGGCGTATATCTATCAGTAAAATTTTTTTTTTCAAATCGGTCCCATGGTACAAAACCCCCTCGAAGTAGACGCGACGAGTAACGCCTTCGGACCAACGTGAAATTCTAGTCGTTCGATACAGATCGAGTCGCGTATACCGGGTGAGTAAGATTTTCACCTGAAATATCTCCATTACTTTTAACGATACGAGAAAATGTGTAAGGGAAAAAATGTTTGCTTCGGTGGGGCGCAATTATTGTGATATAGAAGATTTTTTTTCTCAAAATCATACTTTCCGATATTTAAAGTATGGTCCGATTATTGTATTTTTTATAATGCCGGGCCAAACGTTAACTCTCTACTGCCTTTGATGATCTACTTCACGAAGCCAATATGGGTTATCAACGGCCCAATAATAAGCGTTTCCTAAATTTACCTCATCCGCGAATAAAACATTCGTGCGTTAAGATAAACATATTATACATGGTTGAATTTGCTTTTTGGTTAGCTATAACGTTACACTAATCAAAATACGTTATCCCGTTAAAAAAAAAAATCGATGACCTTGAAGTATCAAAAAATATGACCTTGAGAAAAATCTTCTGTATCGCAATAACTAATAATTTTTTCTCATATACATTGTTTCGTATCATTAAAAAGCAAGGGAGATATTCCAGGTGAAAATCGTAGGTGACTCAGCCTGTATACATTCTATTCTCACGTAACTGAACGCTAAAGCGAAATCGACTCGTTGAATTTCGTCTGAGTAACCTAAGAGGGGGGAGGGGGCGGTAATCGTTCCTGTGCATCGACACGAATCCTAGTTATCTCGAGGTTCGCGTCTCGCAGGAAATTGTTCGTGACGAGATCCATCATGTTTCTCGATCGATCCTTTATCACGCACAGAAAAGAGTTTTTGGTAATTATTCGAAATAGGTCCATCCTCACCGATTTCAATGACCTTGAAATATGTTGTCAAGGTCATGATTTTAAACAATTTTTCGAGAATATGTTTCAATTTACATGATACTTTCTCAGATTTGTATTTATTAATTAATTATTATACCACGCATCCAACACCCCATAAATACAAGATACTAATGAGATATTAATAACTAAACTTGTGTTTGGTGAGATGTTGGGTGCGTGGTTAACACTGGGTGGTGTGTGGTGAGATATTTGATGCGTGACATAATAATTAATTAATAAATAATAACCTGAAAAAGTATCAAGTAAACTGAAACATATTTTCCTGAGTATCTCGGGAACTAAGGTCAAGCGGCGGTAACATGTATAGGGAAAAGTTGTTGCGAATGATGACCTTGACAACATATTCCAAGGTTATTGAAATCAGTGAGGATGGATCTATTCCGAATAATTATCGAGTTTTTTTTTAATAGTCGCGTCATTTCCTGCGGGACGCGCCGAAATAGTCCAGGAACGAAAATAATCGATCCGATACCGATACAGAAAAAAAAAAAACGAACGAAGTAAAAAGAAAACGAGAGGTCACCGACGTGATAATAATTAGTCGGCACACCGTTAATACCGTTTCTGAGAAAGGAACGAATCTACATTATGATTAATGTTGAACCCAGCACGTAGTACAGTGCGTCATCGTAGCGGTAAAGACTATCGGAAACATAGTCCTCGTCACCAGCCTCCTGCAGTTCGTGTTCGCCGTCATTGGCGTACAACTGTTCAAGGTAGGATCGCCAGGCCCTGCACACTAAAAAAAAAAATTAAATTAAAAAAAAGAACGGTCCTGGGACATTCCTTCTGAACCTCTCGTAGTACA